GTGTGTGTGTATGTGTGTGAGTGCCTGTCTGTCTGTCTGTCTGTCTGTCTGTCTGTCTGTGTGACTGGCTGGATCTTTCTCTACCATATGTGTCTCCCACTTTGGCTGTACAGCCAGGTGCCCAGTTATCACCATCTTCTTTATGCCCATTCTCAGAGTCTCACCCTGGGATTTCCGCAGCTCCTCCACCAGACACCGGGCCTCCTCCTTTATCCACTCTTCCACATTCTGTTTCCCCATCCCAAAGTCTCTCATGGTGGCCAGAGAGAATCGCCGGAGGGCCTTCCAGCGTTCTCCATTGGCAAAGATCACACCTAAGAAAGTAGGGAAGGCATGGAAGAGTTACAAGGGAAGTTCAAAGACCCTGAGTCCTTCCCCACAGCTTGGACTCCACCTCTCACCTCCCTGGACCACATCCTCCACTCCACCCTGTGACATAGCTCACCATATCCCTGCACAACTGGCTCAACCACAGCAACTGTCCCCCGGCCAGAGAAAGCCTCAGCTTGGTCCACCAGAGCCTCCCTTATGGCCTGTGTCCCATACAGCATGACCACCGGCCTTGGTCCCAGGTGCACTGTGAACACGTCTCCGTATTTTTCTCGAAACTGCCAAGCATAAGGGAAGAAGGGTTGTGGATAGTCAGTGCAGATGTGTTGTTACACTGTTAAACACTTAGACACTGATTGGTAAACAGGCACTTCCTCCTCTGGCCACTATCTAAGGACCTAAGAGGTGAAGGGTTAATTGTCCACATAGGCAGGTCCTGCACTGGTTGGTTAGATTTTCTAATCAGTGCACCAGTACTGTGGAGCAGGGAGGAAGGGCAACCCTTGTGTATAAGCCGTGGGGAGGTAGAGACCAGGGAATCAGCAGTCATCCTTGGCTACACATCCCATTTAAAGCCAGCCTCAGCTACATATGAGTCTATCTAAAAACACTGATCCAGATATGGATGCAGATGCGCACTGGTTCCATGCCAATGCCAGTTTGGCCAGTTGAACCATTCTCCCTGTGACCCATCTTCAACCTGTTCAATGTCTCCTGGCAACAGTGCAGAGAATGGCCCTGACCCACCCACTGGGTTACATGGGAGGGGAAGTTATTGTCACCTAGCAGTGGTCCTCAATGTTAGTCACGACTACAATACACACATTTGGGAAAATATCTGGCAATGCCACCATCTATGCATCTACAGGGAACTGGTCCCAGGAATATCACAGCCCTCCAGTCCGGAAAGCCCTTGAAGAGAATGGTGCAATGCTTGTAAATAGTCCACTCTCATCCCCTTGTAATCTTTAACTCACACTAGCTTGCAATGCAGCCAATACAAATGGTAAACTATTAAAAATGGTCAGTGCACAATGCTCTTTAGAAGACAATGCTAAGAAAAAGCTCTACATGTGTTTGATAATGACCTATTTATGTTTTAGGCCATATCATACCATCAAATCCTCTGTAACAATGAACCCTCAGGTAAGATCAAAGATATTATATGAAACTTGAAGGATGATCATGAGTTTGAGATTAGCCTGGGAAAAGCAGGGTGACCTTATCTCAACAGCTAAATAAAAACAAATGAATACGCCAGTGATTCAGATATGTGATCTCTTTAAAACCACCGGATACCATCCATTTGCCTGCAGATTTCACGATGTCATTGTTTTTTATAGCTGAGTAGTACTCCATTGTGTAATGTACCAGATTTTCTTTATCCATTCTTCAGTTGAGGGGCATCTAGGTGGTTTCCAGGTTCTGGCTATTATGAATAATGCTGCTATGAACATTGTTGAGCAAGTGTTTTTATGGTTTATTGAACATCCTTTGGGTATATGCCCAAGAGTGGCAATGCTGGTTCTTGAGGTAGATTGATTCAGAATTTTCTGACAATTCCCCATACCGATTTCCAAAGTGGCTGTACAAGTTTACACTCCCACCAGCAATGAAAGAATGTTCCCCTTACTCCACATTCTCTCCAACATAAGCTGCCCATAGTGTTTTTGACATTAGCTTTTCTGACAGGTGTAAGCTGGTATCTCAGAGTAGTTCTTGATATTCATTTCCCTGATGCCTAAGGATGCTCAGTAATTCCGTAAATGTCTTCCAGCCATTGAGACTCTTCTGTTGAGAACTCTCTACCTAGATGTGTGCCGCATTTTTAAATTGTATTATTTGGTATCTTTATTCTATTTTCTTGAGTTCTTTATATGTTTTGGAGACCAGCCCTCTGTCAGATGTGGGGTGAGTGAAGACCTTTTCCCATTCTGTAGGCTGTAGTTTTGTCTTGTTTACTATATTCTTTGCCTCACAAAAGGTTCTCAGTTTCAGGAGGTCCCATTTATTGATTGTTGCTCTCAGTGTCTGTGCTACGGGTGTTACATTTAGGAAGTGGTCTCCCCCTTGCTGACAAGTTCAAGGCTATTTCCCACTTTCTCTTCTATCAGGTTCAGTGTAACTGGATCTTTGTTGAGGTCTTTGACCTACTTGATGAAATTTGCTGGAAAATGGATGGAACTGGAAAAAAAAATCATCCTGAGTAAAGTAACCCAGAAAGACAAGCACAGCATGTTCTCACTCATAAGTAGATATTAAATGTAAAGCAAAGGATAAACAGACTACAGTCCACAGCTCCAGAGAAGCGAGGTAACAATGAGGGCCTGAATCATCTTGGGAAGGGGAAATAGATGAGATCTTCTGGGTAAACTGGGGTAGCAGTAGAGGAAGGGGATGGCAGATGAGAACATGAGAGAATGAGATGGATGAGTTGGGGAAAGATGGAGAGCAATGAAAGAGATATCTTGATTGTTGGGGCCCAAACATAATATTTTCAGAAATAGGCCTCAACTCAATTCCAGGAGCTCAGATCTCCCATTGTCTTTTAGATGTCAGCTGGTTACCTCCAGATGGCCTGGCCATGGTGGGGAATGCCTCCTAGTTTGTATAACAAAAGACCTAGGCCCTGGACAAGCCTATGCCCACCCTGAAGGCTAGTGAGTACATGCAGTTCTAGGAGCATCTCGAGGATTAAAGGAAATATTTAATATCAGCTCTATATATGAAAGTAGATTTCTTCTGCCAGTATCCCTGCTTTTGGAAAGTTATTTAAGACGATGCTGAAATAAACCATGGTCTCCAGTACTGACTGAGAGCCCTCCTGAGATGACAAGATGTCTCTGACTCATCCTTAATGCCATTGGGTAGCTAGGACTTCCCTCATCCACACTCTCTGACTCAGGGTGGGACCCAGGGCTGTTTGGCTGGTTCTGATCATAACCCCCAAAAACATCAGTCCTGAATAGATGGCCTCTGGAGAGTAGGACTGAAACAGACTTGAAAATGGCACTTGATAGAGGCAGCCATTATGGGTTTAGGGAGAATCCTGGTGATAGGGAAACTCCTAGGAATCCATGAGAATGACCCCAGCCATGACTCCAGGCAATAATGAAGAGGGTGCCTGAACTGACCCTGCCCTGTGATTGGTGACTACCCTGTCATCAGAGAGCCCTCCTCCAGTAACTAACAGAAGCAGATGGAGAGATCCATAGCCAAGCACCAGGCTGAGCCCCGGGAGTCCAGTGGAAGAGAGGAAGGAGGGATTTTATGATCCAGAGGTGCTCAAGACCATGATGGGGAAACCTATAGAGACAGCTGAACCAAGCTCATGGGAACTCATGAACTCTAGACCAACAGTTGTGGAGCTTGCATGGGACCGAGCTGGACACTCTGCATGTGGCTTGGTCTGTTTGGGGGTGGGTTGCATGGCAGTTGGGCCAGGATCTGTCTCTGGTGTGTGAGTTGGTTTATGGAGCCCATTCCCTACGGTGGGATACCTTGTTGGGCCTTGATGTAGTTGGGGGGGGGTTAGTCCTTCCTCAACTTAATGTGTCAGGCTTTCTTGAGTACCCATGGGAGGCTGTATTCTTTGGAAGGGTGGATGGGGAGTTGGCTGGGGGTGGTGGGGCATGAGCAGGAGAAAGAAGGGTTGGAAGGGTGGATGGGGAGTTGGCTGGGGGTGGTGGTGCATGAGCAGGAGAAGGAAGGGTGGGAGGAGGAACTGTGGTTGGTGTATATATTCTTATCTTTTAAAAGGTAGCAGGGCAGGGTGGTGGCACATACTTTTAATCCCAGCACTCAGGAGGCAGAGGCAGGAGGGTCTTTGTGAGTTCAAGGCCAGCCTGGTCTACAAAGCTACACAGAGAAACCCTGTCTCAAAAAGTCAAGAAAAAAAATGGTAGCAGATAGTCAGGATTGTTGCCAGTATATCAGCCATCTAAATGGGCCAAGGGGCCAAGGGTGCTAATTGATTATTAATAAACAAATAGTTATTGAACATAAAATATCACCGGTGAAGACTGATAAAGATGGTGCCAGGGTCGGCTGCTTGGAAGGTCCATGGTGTTTCTAACCGATAAGCACTCCCTACCTACCCCACCACCTGACCTGCCTCTCCTCCCCTTTGTTCCAGAGCACAGCAGGCTAATCCCTTGTGCTGGTAGAAGCAAAGCTTAGCTGCTGATGCCTTGGACATTGTTCTTTCTCTCATGGAACAAAGAAGCATCAAAGAGGAAAATTGTAAACCCTTGGGGCACACCTCCTTACCCTGACCCCTTTCATACACCAAGCACAGTACCACACATGATTCCAGAATAGTGAGGACACACTTGACAATCTGAGCACCACCCATCACCAATCAGCCTCTCGCCGTTCACCCAGCAACCTTCCCACCTGAACCTAGGGTGTGGAAGGGGTCCCTTGCTCATCCAGCTGAGTGATCTCCAAGGGCAAATATGGGGCTCAGCCATAGGGCACAGGCCCTGTGTAAGTCTCACCCTCATGAAGGAGTTGAGGAGGCCTCTTCTGTCCATCTGCAGGAGGTTCCCCAAGAGGGGCAAGGGACGGGGTCCTGGTGGGAGGTGGCCATGGGCATTTGTGTGGCCCTTGACTAGGAGTAGCAGGAAGCCCACAAGGAGAGTGAGGAGGAGCAGGACGCTGGGTTCCATGGTCTGATCTGGTCACCGTCCACGTCACTGCACACTCCAGCAGGACCTTTTATGCTGAACCTGCCTCTCCACTCAGTTGAGCAAGTTCAGCTGTTCCCGCCTCCTGTCTCATCGCTGACCAGGAGTGTGAGCACCCAAATTTCCTGCTTGAGATGGCGGTGAACTGCTCACTCCTTATCCCGTAGATGCTGGCAAGGACAATGAAACAGATCCACAAGACAAAAGAACACTGGGAGTAACGCATCACAGGTGTGAGCCTGTACTTGTCAGCTCAGTTTTGCCTGTTTATTGACTCAGGCATGGATTTCGGTGTGTGCTGCTTATGTCAGGGACATTTCTTTTTCTTTATTTTATTGTATTGTATTAGTTCAAATTAGGAAAAAGCTTGCTTCAGATGTCAATCCCGTCTCCCTCTCCCTCCCCTCCCCCGCAACATTCCACCTGCCCTTAGCCATCCCCCCTCCACTCCCCAGGCAGGGTAAGGCCCTCAAAAGGGGCTCCCCAAAGTTTACTACATCATCCTGGGCCAGGCCTAGGCCCTACCCCATGTGTCCAGGTCAAGAGAGCATCCCTTCACAAGGGATGGGCTCTCAAAGTCAGGGACATTTCTTATGTGAATGTGCATGTGTGTTCCTCTAGGTGTCATTGTGTGTGTGTGTGTGTGTGTGTGTGTGTGTGTGTGTGTGTGTGTGTGTGTGTGTGTTGATAAAATGACATGGGACAAACAACTGTCCCACAGACTGTTAGAGCCAAAAAGGAGACTGAACGCGCCCATAGAGGACCCACTCCTATGGTAACGACATAAAACCATTCACAAAGTGCCATGGCTAGAATGTGAAGGACTTCCCACACTTCCATGTGTTTGAATGCTGGATCCCTAGCCAACAGTATTTTTAAGATGTTCTCAAACTCATCAGAAAGAAACAGGTCACTTGAGGGACCCTCTCCCTCAGACCCTCCTGTCTTTCTTTTCCACCTGCCACATGCTTCCACAGCAAACCTAGAGGCCCAGCTGCCCTGCCTTCCTGTCTTGAAACAGGCCCCAAATAAACCTATTCTCCCACTTGCTTCAGAGCAGATATTTAGCCACAGTGACAAAGCCGCCAATGTAGGTATCGGTGCCAGGAGTGAGGTTGTTATGTGACAAATCCCACCATTTAGTTCCTCATTTGAAATTATTTGGTCGTTTGGGCCACAGCTTTGAAGTGAGAACTTGGGACTAATCATGTATCAGGACCAAAAAGAAATGCATGTGAGAGAGACAGACAGAGCCTGGCCATGAATGTTAGCCCAATCTAAGAAACTTGTCACCACCAGCCATCTACCCCCTACCTTTAAGTATCCTACAACATAGCAGAAAGGCAAAGCCTGACTCACATCTTAGACACCTCATCTCTTCTTTTGTTGCTTTATGCAGTTAACTGTATTCTAAAGCATGACACACAGAAACTGACCAGATCTACGGTCCATCCATCCCAGGGAACATCTATTCACTTAGAACAGGCATTGTGAAGCTGTAGAGCTTCACACTGTCATTTTTATTATTTTTTAACCCTATTTTCATTTGATGTGTATGACTGTTTCATCTGAACTTACGTATGTTCAGTGCATGTATGTCTGATGCCCAAGAAGTTAGAAGCGGGGACTGTACACTCTCCCATTACAGTTATAGACGGCTGTGAGCCACCATGTAGGTGCTGGGAACTGAACCCAGGACCTCTGCAAGAACGGTCAGTACTCTTAACTGCTGAACCACTCCCCTAGTTCACATATCACTTCTTAATGCAGTTATAATGGCATTTGCATTTCAACTTGAATTTTAGAGGGGGATATTCAACAATTAACACTCTGCTTCCTCCCCTCCCCTTAAAAATAACCCGTCCAGCTTTCTCAAGTAAAAGGTATTCGTTCTATGCCAACACCTCAAACTTTTAAATTGAATTAAAGCCTTTCCCAGAGTCACCACTTATTTTCCCAACTTTTTAGTCGTCATCCAATTGTAAACTACAATCTAGTATAAATCTGGCGAGTTAACGTATACACACCGGGGTCAAGTCGAATGCAGGTCTGTGTCTTGGAAAAGAACCACCGTTCTCTATGGCATAAATTGTGCCTTATCTTGACGTTTTGACAAAAGAAGAGATGACAGGTGAAGAACCTGGAAGGACATGGGAAGAGGAATTGGAGGGGAAAAGTGAAATAGAGTCAGCCATTTGAACAACACTGGCGTCTACAGAGCTACATAGTCAGTCAAAGACAAAACTGGCTGCTGATGGGCTCGGTTGATAGAATACATTCCTTACAGCTTGGAAGACTTGGGTTTCACCAGAATACATTCCTTGAATCCTTGAAGATTTTGGTTTCGTCACTGCATCAAGTGAGTGTGATACCAACCAGGACCCTGAAGGTCATTTTTGACTACAGAAAGATCAGAGTCCAGTAACAGACCTTCCCAAAGAATTTCACCACAAGGAATTTCAGTTATTGAAGACCCCAAACCATTAACATCAGCTACCCCTCACATACGTCAGCATCATTGTAGACCAGTGGCCAAGGATCACACAGTGTGTGTTGTCATCCTGAGAGACAAGCAGGTCAAAGTAACTTAAAACTTCAATAGACAGAGGGAGAAGGGATTGACATGTGAAGCAAGCTTGTTCCTAATTTGAACTAATAAAAGAATAAAATAAAAAATAAAAAAAAACTTCAGTACACTTCTGTTGTTGTTGGTTTTTATGCCTTTTCTCTTTGGGGGGGGTCCACTACCCATCTCCAAAATATATCCCTCACAGAGTCTTAGTCTTTCTTATAAATGCCTGGCCTTAGCTTGGCTTATTTCTTGCCAGTTTTTAACTTTAAAGTGCCTTTAGCTTCTGGCCTTCTTCCTTTTCTTACCTCTATTGCTCTTAGTTTCAGGCTGGCTCCCAGTACCCTCCTCTCCTCCCTCTTTCCTCTTGCCTCTCCTCATTTCTCCTATTTATACTCCCAGCCTGCCCGCCCCGCCTATCCTTTCTCTTGCTTCGATATTGGCCATTCAACTCTTTATTAGACCATCTGATGCATTAGACAGGCAAAGAATCACAGCTTCACAGAATTAAACAAATGAAGCATAAAACAAAAGCAACACATTTTTACATTGTTAAATGTTCCAGAGCATAAACAAATGTAACTTCTGCAACACACTTCTTTCCTTCTCTCTTGGTGTGAAGACCTCATTAAACCCTACCTACCCATGTATCACAGTGTAGCCAAGGGTGATTTTATCTGCACTATCCTCCTGGCTCCTCTATGGGTGCTGACTGCATAGCTATGAACCCACAATGGTTATATTATCATTGCTGGAGATTGAACTCAGGGCTTCATCTACACTGGGCAAGCAACATTCTAACAACACAGCCACATCCCCAGCACCCATTTTTGTTTTAGCTTTGTTTATTTTTAGGAAAACATAATATCACTATGTAGCCCGCTTTGCAATTGAACTAATTCTCCTGCCTCCACGTCCCAGCACTTGGATTGCAGGTATGTGCCAATATGTGTCAATGCTATTTTGGGTTTTGCTCCGCCACCCAGGCTGACTGTGAATTTGTGATCTTGAGTCACTAGCATAACAGGCTTATGCCAGGAGCTCTGGGTATGAATTTGTTGTTAATGGTGGTGTTCATGTTGAATGTATATTTCCAAAGTGATAACTTAATTTGTATCATAAATTTCCTTCAGGAATATTTGATTTATACAGAAGATAATTCACGTATCTCTGCTGTTTCAAGCATATCATAAAACTGCCATGTTTGACTTTGATGATCCATACCACATTTTAAATTGGTTTGTTTCTCTGTTTGTCTTAGACAAGTTCTCCCTATGTATCCCAGGCTCATCTTGAACTCATAGAGCTAGTCTCACAGCCTCTGAGTGCTGGAATTACACATGTGTGCCATCACATCTGGCACACTTCATGTTTGGAAAGGAGCTTTCCTATTGCACCAAGTGGCTGCAATTCACTGTGTGACCTTAGGCAATATCACAGCCTCTCTGTACTTCCTCTGTATATTAATAAGGGAAGGCAACATTCCTCCCCAAAAATGAATTGTCAGTTACTTCATGGAACACACTTCATGGCTCTCACCAGGATTCCTGGGCTGGAAAAATGATCCACATTTAATGCCAGATCACACAGCTTGGCAAGTATAAGGTCCTAGTGTCAGTTGAGTCTAGGGTGGCAACGTGCCAAGGTCAGGAGAGCACAGGTTCCGTGTCTGAAATCTGCAAGTCTTTCTTCCCTTCCTCCTTGGTCACTGGAGTGTAACTCTGATGTTAAGGTCATGTCCTGAATCTAGACAGGCATTGGCTAAATGTTGAAAGAAGAGTACTGCCTCTCCTCTCTCTCTCTCTCTCTCTCTCTCTCTCTCTCTCTCTCTCTCTCTCTCTTTCATTTAAAGAGATGTGAAGTCTTGTTTAAAAAAAAAAAGAGAGGTTCAGGGCTGGAGAGATGTCAGAGAACTGCCCGCTCTACCAGAGGTCCTGAGTTCAATTCCTAGCAACCACATGCTGGCTCACAAGCATCTATAATAGGATCTGATGCCCTCTTCTGGTGTGCAAATATGCACACAGAGTACTCATATACACAAAATACAAATAACATCGTTTTTAAAAAAGAGAAGTCCAGGGATGGGCATGTGCTTCTCATCTCAGCGATTGGAAGGCTGAGATTAAGCATCATTTCTTGCCTGGGGAGCATTGCAAGACCCCCATCTCCAAATTAAAAGGGCTGGTGACATACCACAGGGGTAGAGCACTTGCCTGGATTCTACCAGTCACACATGAAGGATCCTGGAGGTGCCTTAGTGTTAGGGCACTTTATGAGCAGGTCTAAGGTCCTAGATTCAATCTCCATGCAGAAAGAGAAAGAGAGATGAAGAGTGGATATGAAGACATATAAAGGGAGAAGCGGGGACAACTAGATTAGTCACAGACATTCGTCATATAGAGACATAGTGAGA